GGTGAAATAGTTGACCCCAGTATACTGGAATAAAACTCCTACTGCGTTTGCCTTATCGCGTCTGTGTCTCTGTCCGTCTTGCCACTTGGGAACCCAGAATCCCGGGCTTAACACTCTCAGGGGACAAGAGCAAGCAACTGCACAATTTACACAGGGTCTGTGTCACAGGAATAATTGAGAGCATATTTTCACTCCTCACTTCTGTTCAGTTTTGCTAACAAAAGTTTGTTCATAATCAGAGGCTATCTTGGAAATTGTAAAATAGTCAAGTGCTAAGTAGGATTTTGATTAAGTATTCTCTGGAAGATTATAAACTCCATGGAGAGGCCAGAGAGATATTACAGCAGACAAGGTGCTTGCCTTGCATGTGGCCAATCCAGGTTGAATCCCCAACACTGATCCCCTGAGCACTGCCAGGCATGATTCCTGAGTGCAGAGCCAGGAGAAATCCCTGAACGTCACTGGGTGTGACCTAAAATTGAAAAAAAATAAACCACCAATTCCACCGAGTTGGAAAGCTACACACAAGAAGCCCTTCATGGCATTCCTTATACAACCTCTCCAAGCTGTCTAGCAAAGCAGCCTTAAAAATATAGCCATAAACGTTAAAAAACCCACATAGTCACCAAAACGAAGAAGGATGCATATTTCTTGGTCAGGATCAAAAGCATCTCCATTTATGAAAAACTAATTGGAGCTGAATTAAGCAGTCTGGAATATCCCAGCACTGTCTTAAGAAATTAGACTGACAAAAGTATAAAGACATTCTGATCCTTTCCTGTTTAGTCTGTCTCAAACACTGTGAATCACAGCCAGGTAGTTAAGCAGTGTTACTTCAGCTCCAGTGTTACTTCAGTACAGATGAGTGGGTCAGACACTGAGGTTTCATTCTACTATTCAAAATTTTCCCACCTACTTTGTAATGAACTCAATCATGTAAGGATTTAGCAAGAGATACCCTCACCTCTTCAACAGAGTATTATAGTCCAAGGAGTGAAAGAGAGGGACGGGTTGGGGGAAGGAAGTAGAGGAAGGAAGGAATATAAAAATTAATATTAATAATTTCTAAAAAGCAATTTGGTAATATTTATTTATGTCCTAAAATTGTGCTTTATATATCATAAAAAATTGCGAGAGCTACACATAAAAATGTGACTGTGAGAGTGCTCATGAGATGATGCAAAATTATAAACAAAGTCACAATGTTCCAGTGCCTGGCTAGATCAGATGAGGGTGGACAGCCCAAAGGGCTGCAACAGTAACTCAGATTGTGGGCCCTGGGCTTGAGGGGTAAATTTTGTTAAAGTCACTAAGCAATGATAAATAAGTAAAAGTAGAAAAATTCTGTATTTATTTACAGTACAGAATTTTACAATTAATTACAATTTATAAACTGTTCTGCCATTACACTCACAGGAATTTAAGCCCAACAAGTAATCAGATTCTAGTGGAATAATGTTTCCAATAGTTCTGGATGCAACAATGAGCATTATTTAGCTAAAGGACCAGGCTAGATTCACAAGCATGGAATTCATAAAATTAACATTTTAGATATTAGTGGTGAATCAAGGAGGAAAATGGCAGATTTCATATCCAAAACTGATGTTTTAGATATCTAAGTACTTGTTGCTTTAATTGTCATTGTATGTGAAGAACTGTACTCTTGGGTCTTCTATTTACATTGCTTTTCACTGAGAAATCACGGAAAGCAAATTAAAAGATCCTCCATGCCATTGGTAGATTTAGTTTTTCACATTAACCAAATACATAATTTAATTTGCTTATTTAATAGTGAACTTGTGATTTCTCCTACCCCCTCATATGGTTCCAAATCATATACTATTAGTATATTGAGTTGGAATCATAGGTTTGGAAATTTGGGGGTTATCAACCTCATAGGTGTCTTGTTCCCTTTAAACTCTCTATTTTTAATCTTTAGTTTACTTTTACAATTAAAATTAAATTAATCTAAATTAAAATTAATATAAAATAAAATTTTCTTCAAAATTCCTATTTGTCCTTTAATACTGTCTTCAAGTATTACTGCTAACTAATATTGTTTTCAAGAGATGTTATCTCCCTATTATTACAGGAGGCCTGGGAATCTGGTACTGCTCAGGTTCTGCAGTGCAGAGATTACACCAGCCACCCCAGCAATCTCAGAAATCTCCAGGGCTGTACCCTGCAGTGCTTGGGGGACCATCTGGTACCAGGGAATGAACCGGGTTGGCCCAAACTAGACATGTATTACATGTATTCTAACTGTCATACTGTCTCCGGCTCTTAAATAATTATTTTTTTACCATGTTCTCTCAGTTCAGAATTGGCATTGTTTTGGCTGAATTTTTTTCCTTCAAGTAATTATAGTGTAGTCATTGGGAAAGCGATGATGGCTCAGTTTCTACATTTTCTTTGGGGAATATTCATTAAACGGAAGCTTAGGATCCCGTAATGCAGTGAGGGAAAACCACACCACACATATGGAACCATCTTTGCACAGAAACGGGCTATTCTGAGGGCAATGTGCAGAATGTTAAGGAACATAATTGTAAATTTTGACTTTTCATGGATCCATGGCAATATGACAGGTAAATTAGAATATTTATTTTTTAAAGTTCTAATGTCTAGTGTAAAACGTGGTTTAACCAATTTTGTATATCTGTAACATGAAATAACAGGTTGCCACGAATACTGAATTTTGAGGGGGAAATGTCAACAATAAAATGTTAAGTGGAGAAAGAATACAAAATTATATAGGTAGTAGCACTATAGCACTGTCCTCCCGTTGTTCATGGATTCACTGGAGCGGGCACCAGTAATGTCCCCATTGTGAGACTTGTTGTGACTGTTTTTGGCATAATGAATACACCACGGGGAGCTTGTCAGCCTCTGCCGTGCGTACATAGGTAGTAGGACTCTAATAATGTACCATATGGTTAAAACCTGACGTGTACTCAAATACTAAGGGGGAGAAAATGGAAAGATTTTTATCAAATTCTAAGAGCTTATCTGTAGATTGCTGGATCATAGATAAATTTTCTTTCTTATATTTCTAAAATATTTCCAAAGTCTCTCATGTTGAATACCTATTAGAAACTGAAAGTGTTGTCTTAAAAAATGTAGCTAATGTAACATGAGTTTATATTTAAGGAAGTCTTTTGTATTGTTATGAATGTGACTAATTAACAATATATTTTGTAGGTATATTAATAAATCTTTTAAGATTTCTTCCACATTGAATCATTGACATTTGGAGATGAGAACTTGGGTATCTGCTGTGGGGTCTGTTTTCAAGGGGACTGAGATTTAGCCACCAGGTGGGAAGGTTAATCAGACTGTCCTTCACCCCAAACACAAATGCTCCCCCAAAATATTTATACCTTTAGCTGTTCCTAGTGTATACACTTAACAAAGAGGCCAGGAGCTTTTGTGTTTAAGAAGGTCAAAAAAGAGAAATGAAAGCAGACAGAAGATTCAGTAAAACTCACAGGCTTTTTTTGTCTCCTTCCTCCCTCCCTCCCTCCCTCCCTCCCTCCCTCCCTCCCTCCCTCCCTCCCTCCCTCCCTTCCTTCCTTCCTTCCTTCCTTCCTTCCTTCCTTCCTTCCTTCCTTCCTTCCTTCCTTCTTCCATGCTCTCTTTCTCTCAAGTTGTTTCTTAATTTAGTAAATAAAAAGAGGGGGAGAAAGAACAACAGAAGATGCCCCACCTAAAAAAAAAAACAACCCCCCCCCCCCCCAAAACACCAAAAAACAAAACCATGGGGCTGGAGTGATAGCCCAGTGGGTGGGGCGTTTGCCTTGCAGACCAGGATTCAATTTCCAGCATCCTATATGGTCCCCTGAGCACCACCGGGAGAAATTCCTGAGTGCATGAGCCAGGAGTAACCCCTGTGAATGAATCATCATCGGGTATGAACCAAAAAGCAAAAGAAAAAAAAAAAAATTAAAAAAAACAAAACCAAAAACCACCCAATGCACCAATGGAGAGAATAATGAAAGTTAAATGACAAGAAATAGAAGACCACAAAACCATTAAAGGAAGTAAATCGATTCCACAATTTTGTCCAAAAATATGCGAAAGGAATGTTTTCTTTGTCAAAGGTTAGGTGAGAGAACTAGAGAAATGCAAATTGGGGGCTGCCATTTCCTCCGTTCTTCGATGTTGATTCGGAATAGGCTGGGTGCCAGCACTGCTGGCTGCTCAGAGACGTAAAAACAAATTGCACTGATATAATCCCTGCTTTCACAATGCTCATAAATTAGTGACAGACACAAACAATTATAGCACCAGGGGAAGAGGAAAAATCGAACACCAGGATAGTCGCTAGTCGGTGAAATTGTGAATGATGTGAAAAACAAGAAGCAAAAGACAAACGAGGAAATATAGTCCATGAAAGCAGAAAAGAGAACATACTTAGTTTGGCTTTGTTTTCTTAATTATGTTAACAAGTGTTAGTTATCTTTTATAAACAGTCATAAAGACAGAATCCTTGCTATCTTTTGTAGTTAAAAGAACCTTTCCATTGTTTTTTTAATCAATTTCTTTTTTAAATTTTTTAATTTTTTTAGTGACTCACCATAATGTGCAGTTACTGACTTACAAACTTTCGTGATTACATTTCAGTCATAAAATGATTGAGTACCCATCGCTCCACCAGTGCACATTTTCCACCATCAATGTTCCCAGTATCTCCCCCCCCCCCATTCCCCCCGACCTGCCTCTGTGGTCTCTCTCTCTCTCTCTCTCTCTCTCTCTCTCCTCTCTCTCTCTCTCTCTCTCCCCTCTCTCTCTCTCTCTCTCTCTCTCTCTCTCTCTCTCTCTCTCTCTCTCCCCCTCCCCCATCCCCTTTTGGGTGTTATGTTTTTTTTAAGATACGAAAGCACATTGCAAAACTTCCTAAGAAACGTCATACCTATTTCCTATAAAATCATTAGCATTTTCTTGATTTTTTAAGTAATGATATAAAAATTTAAGAAAGCCACAAACTCCTTTTCACTTACCAAGATTTCTTTCTCAGAAGAAATAACTTCTAAGTGCTTGACGAAGTGAGTGTGTGACAGATTGCAGGCTCTCCACTTAAATTCAAGTGAAACCACAGCAGAGACAGTCTACTGACATCTATTGGAACTCACCAGAACTACTCTTACATCTGCATTTCCCTTTCTGAGGTTTTGTACAAAGCTCAGCAGGGGTTTCTGGAAACAGACTAAAACAATGGTCAGTTTCTTAATTCACGGGAGTCAAGAGCTTATGAGAATTTCAGCGTGAGAAAATTGTTTAAATTACACTCATACTTAAGAGTTTTCAGCCTAAATATTAAAAAAGTTGGGGTCTTTGCCCTTTCTGTTTCCATCAAATTTAACACTTAGAAAACAATTGCATTAACCATTATTAAGCAATTTTGTAGCAACATTATTTTAGTTGACTAAGATACCTCAAAAAATATATATATATGTCTCTCAGAGAGTCCACAAGCTACCTAGAGTATCCCTCCCGCACAGGCAGAGCCTGGCAAGGTCCCTGTGGCGTATTCGATATGCCAGAACCAATAACTATAACAGGTCTCATTCCTCTGACCCTGAAAGAGCCTCCAATCTTTGGGAAAGAAAAGTAAGGAGAGGCTGCTAAAATCTCAGGGCTAGGAGGAATAGAGACGTTACTTGTGCCGGCTCAAGTAAATCGATGAACAACGGTTGACAGTGACAGATACTTCAAAATAAATTTAGGTCCAAAATTTTTTTAAAAGTTATTTTGCAACTTTGCTGACTGATACATAATTAGTTACACTTCTAGGAAATTGTACCATTTCCTCACATTCTGACCAATACTTTTTTTTTCTTTTACGTTTTGTTGTTGTTTTAGTTTTATTTGTTTGGGGGCCATAACTGATAGTGCTCAGGCTTACTCTTGATTGCTCAGGGATCACTTCTGAGGGGAGGTGTGTCTGTGGACCACATGGAGTGCAGAGGATACAACCCAGGTTGGCCACATGCAAGGCGAGCACTTTACCCACTGTATCATCACTCCTGCTGTCCACCCTCACTCAGGCCCCTGAAGTTATTTATCATTCAAGTATGATAAATAACCCTGAGATCCTGCGAGCCTAGATGGAAAAATTACTTTTGTAATGAAATAACGATTTTAGAATGATAGCAGCACCTTAGAAAAAGAAGGGGCCTGGTGAATCAAAATTTTCAGGTAGTCAAGATATCTGAAATATCAAGAAAGTTCCACTTAATTAAGGCTCTATAAGGAACTGTATGGTGTAACTTTAAATTTTATTTTATGATGAATACCACTACCTGTCATTTGTTCATCTTCACAAAAATGAAACAAAGCAGGTTTTAAGTCTGCTCTTTGAGTCGTGGTGAAACTGGAGGCTGGAGAGATCATTTCTGCCTAAAGATGAACAGCAAGCAAGCAACAAAGGTCCAAAGGCAACAAATGGGAAAACAGATCCACACAACAAGAGTTGGGGCTGGGGCTTGAAAGGGAGGGCTGTTGGGGTCCTCGGGAGAGGGACTTGGAGTCACTGGTGATGGATGTGGTGTTGAAATTATGTGCACCAGAAACAGTTATTAACAGAATTGGAAACCACAGAATCTCAATTAATTAAAAAAAATAATAATTAAATAAATGAAATAAAACACTGAAAAAAAGCACTTCTGCTTTTAGAAGAAAGGAAAGGGCAGCTTCATGCTATTCATTTTTACTCATTAAATGGGACAGGAAATCATCTTTGGGCTGCAGAGGAGGAGCAAAAGTGAATGGTGAAGGAGACAGAGAACCGCCGGCACCCGTGACCCGGGGAGTGCGGAGCTGTGATGCAGGCCAAGGAGAAAGGGACCAGCATGCCATGCTTGCATGCACATCCGGGCAAAATTGGTCGCATGGCACAGTGACATTTTTAAAATGTTCGTTTTACTATCTGGAGAGAGAGTGCAAGGTTGAAGCACTGGTCTTGCATAGGAGTATGGGGGGTGGTGGGGGGTGGGGGTTAGCTCCTGGGCGCCCCAAGGTCCACAGCACTGCCTGGTGAGGCTCAATAGAGAGAAATGCTCATCAGGGCATTGCCTCATAGCACTGGTGGAATGAGGAAATGATTCCTGTTGTAGTTCTGAGAACTGTTTTTATGGAAATGACAATGCAGAACAGAAAAAGATTGACAGGCAAGGGCTGAACCCGACTCACAGGGTGCGGATACTGTGAATTCTTTCAAAAAGTGGGAGTTTTTGTGCCTGGACCTGAGTGGCTGGCAAGGGTCCTGCCAGTGAGGCGCTTTGGGCTTCTGTAAAGCCCAACATTGGAGGAGAGCTTGGGGCCCACACCCAGTGGTACTCAGGGATCACTCCTGGCCGGACTCCGGGGACCATAGGGAGAGTCAGTGATCAACCTGAGTCCACCACGAGCAACGCAAAAGCCCCCCTCACTGTACTCTCACTCAAGCCCCTAAGAGATAGATTCTTATTTATCATTTTATCATTTTATTTTTTGTCCTAGTTCAATGTTTCTACTATGGACATGCATTACTTATGTTTTTTTCTTTTTGGGTCATACCCAGCATTGCACAGGGGTTACTCCTGGCTCATGCACTTAGGAATTACTCCTGCTGGTACTCAGGAACCTTATGGGATGCTGGGAATTGAACCCGGGTCGTCCGCGTGGAAGGCAAATGCCCTACCTGCTGTGCTATCGCTCCAGCCCCGCATTACTTAATTTTTTAAATAAATTAACACCCTAGAGGTATAAAGCAAAATAAAATAGTATAAGGTCAGTAAATAAATATACTGTCCCAGAGCATAAACATTATTATGTCTATTTTGATATTTTTATTATTAAATGTTATTTGAATCATTTTATTTTTAATACTTATATTTAAAATTTTTACTTTTAAAAAAGAATAATTTTCAACATTATTTTAATAACTTTTACTTTTCAAAAAGAATAATTTTCTATTTTCCTTTAAATCAATAAATAAAGGTAAAAGGTAAAGGCCCTCCCGTTGATCGTCGATTTGCTCAAGCGGGCCCAGTAACGTCTCCATTGGAGACTTTGTTGTTACTGTGTCTGGCATATCGAATACTCTCGGTAGCTTGCCGGGCTCTCTGAGAGGGGCGGAGGAATCGAACTCGGGTCGGCCATGTTGGCCGCGTGTAAGGCGAACGCCCTACCGCTGTGCTATCACTCCAGCCCTCCATATTTATATTTAGGTTATAAAGAAACAAGACAAGGGAATGGCCAATGGCCAATAAAGACAAACCCTGAGACTCTGATGACAGAACTGAGGTAAGTAAGCAGAGGGTGGGGAGGAATTTGGTGGGCTAGAATGGGCATACAGAGTGGGTGAAGGGTCTTTGGCACTTTGGTGGTGGGAGAGGGCCAGTTTTCACTCCAGAAGCATGAGTATCACACAGGTATAAACTTTGTTACCTCACTGTCACTATCCTCCCGTTGTTCATCAATTTGCTCCAGCAGGCCCAGTAACGTCTCCATTGGAGACTTTGTTGTTACTGTGTTTGGCATATCGAATAGTCACGGGGAGCTTGCCAGGCTCTGCCGTGCGGGCGAGATACTCTCGGTAGCTTGCCGGGCTCTCCGAGAGAGAGGCGGAGGAATCGAACTTGGGTTGGCCATGTTGGCTGCGTGCAAGGCAAACGCCCTACCGCTGTGCTATCGCTCCAGCCCTTGTTACCTCAATAATAATAAAATTAAATTTAAAAGGAGAAAAAGAAGGTCTGGGTGGGGCTTGACATCAGTATTCTTTTCAAAGAATCAGTATTCTTGTCAAAGCTTTGTGGATGATTTGATTCAAATCTGTGTGCATGGAGGGGAGGGTGGAGAGGGTGGAGCTCAGACCTAACTCTGTCCTAAACACATTGCCCTCTAGTGGCCCCTGTTTTCTTATCTGCAATCCTCCTACCTCAGGGCCCAGAGGTGATCCTTGACCCTCACTGATCCCTGTTCCTGATTCCTGTTCTTTCTTCTTGTCCTTAAGACCTATTCCTCTGGACTGCAGTCATCCTCGAGCCCTGTAACTCACTGTAACCCACTGTTTTAGCACTGCTGACTATCTCCATCACTGTCCCTATCATAACACCAGCGATTTCAATAGCTTTTTAGACATTCTCCCACTCCCCCTGACTTCTTAGCTCTTAGTTCTTCTAATGATCTTGTCCTGACGCCTCCTTCAGTCATGCATTCCCTCATTAGGCCCTACTTATTACTCCCAGCACCACCATAATCAGAGTCCCACCTTCCAGCCCCCACTTCCAATTTCTCTTTGTCACCAACAATCCTCAGGCCCCACTGCACTGGATCACAGAACCAGGTTTCGACCTTCTCATCAATATTTGCCCGCAGCTACCTACTCCCCTCTTCTCAATTTGCTTAAATCCACCTCTCCTGTGGACGCTAGGGAGCCTGAGCAGCTAAAGTTGGGGGAAACATGAATTCTAGTGACAATCTCATTTGAAATTCAAAGCTGGGGCCCACAGTCTCCAACTTGTTCTACCTCATTCCACCCCCAGTTCTCCCACTTGTCACCTCCTCCTCCCTCCAATATCCCCAGTACCCGCTTCTCTCTCTTGCTCTCTGTTAGGAAGGCTTCATTTTTCTTTATCTCCTTGCCTTCTCCCCTTCCCTGGCTCATGGTACTTCCATAACCGGCGCTTGGGCACAATCTTGCATGTGGTAATCTCTAGATGTACATAAGCATCACTTCAGCGGTGGTGCTTATGCACATCTGTGATACTCACCAGGGATCATATCCATCTTAGCCGTAATATGATGGTTTCAATTAACATAGGAGGCTACAAATCTCTCATATTTAACAAAAAATACCTTCATCTGGACCTCTTCTCTTCTCTCTTCTTTATATTAGAAATACTTGAGGGAGTTGTTTCATTCACTTCCTCTAAGTGTTCCTCTCTTTCCTCAAATCTACTCCAATCATATTTCCATCTCCATCACTACAGAAAAAGAAGTCTTGTCAAGGTCCCCAGTGACCTCCACATTGCTGAATTCAATAGTCAGGTCTCAAATTTT